CCATCAGGGAAATATAGAGGAGCTGCTACAGCTCTGCCTTTGCCCTGAATGGAGATCAGAAAACACTTTAGTGATTTCCATCACCTGCTGGGACCAAAAGAAGCCAGCTTTATCTGCTTGCCATTTTTTAGTGACTACATTTTAAATTTCTGAACCAAGAATGCTGTTCTGAATAACAAGTGTTTTCTTATCTCCCTGTTTCTCCTCTTTCCCATAATGTTTATTTACTACCAGTTGCCAATGAGTAAATACAGCCCAGCATGCAAACATGGGGGAGAATAAGAAAATATCATGAGGCTCCAAAGGTAGTCGCAGAAATAAAATGCTCATCTTAACATTCTACAAGATTAAATTAACTTCAAGCTGCTTTGTTGTCAAGAGCATATAGTGAAGTTCAGAAGACTCAGGCTTGAGTTTTATTTCTGTCACTTTCTCAACACGTTACCTGGTAGTAAGTCTCTCCCTCTTTCTCAGCCTTGGTGTGTACAGTTGTCATAATAAATACTTCACAAGATTGGGAATGTTAGATAAGGAAATATATGTAAAAATATTTTTGCCCATTGCTAAGACCTATATGTTAGTTATTTATTAAGAACAGGCACAACCCCAAAAAGATGATGTAGACAAAGCAAAAGGAACAAAATACAATCTCCCTAAATTAGCTGTTGTTTTCCTTTTCTAAAGGGAAACTTACTCCCACAACACCCCTACACCTATGTCTTTCCTTGTTTAAAAAAAAAAAGAAAGAAAGAAAGAAAAGCCCTGGCTGGTGTGGCTCAGTGGATTGAGCATGGGCTGTGAACCAAAGGGCCATTGGTTCGATTCCTAGTCTGGTGGGCACATGCCTGAGTTGCAGGCCAGGTCCCCAGCAGGGTGCACATGAGAGGTAACCACACATTGATGTTTCTCTCCTTCCCTTTCTCCCTCTCTTCTCCTCTCTCTAAAAATAAATCTTTTTTTAAAATAATGACTATTAAAAAATGCCTTTTCTATTTCTTGCTAATGAACAAATTTCAAATCTTGTAACAGCATCTTTGTAATGCTTTGAAACGCTGCTCTTTCTCTCAGGACACCCCTGCTGCATCTGAGGCTTCCTAGGCATCCCTCTTGTGCAATGGGCATTCAAGACCTGGAATTAAATGTCCTCCAAGTTCCCTGCCGGGCCCAGGTTCCCTGTTGCTGTCTGTCTCTCTTTCCCAGTCAGTCAGTGTCTGAGAACTCTTACATCTTTCTTTTTTTTATCAGTGTCTCTGGGAAAAAGTCCAACTGCACCACCTCACCAAGAAACTCCATCAAGATACTCCTAATGTTTAATATGCACGATGAAGATACCTCAATAGTGAAAAAGTCAATCTAAGAATAATAGCATCTGATTATTTTGCTTCTATTCTGAATCTGGCATTTGGATGAGTAGTGGCATCCCCACTGAGGGGTGTCATCCCAGCGACGACACCTCCCAGTAAAAATCATGAGCTAAGTTCCAGTGCCACCCTGCTCGGAAGGGCAGGTAAGGGTCATCGACCCACAGAAGACCACGTTCCTGGGTGCACGTGAGAGGACAAGACTCTGGGTTTTCCGAGTGAAGCCGAACCAGCTCTGACCCCGGCCTGGGAGCCCCCTGGTTAAGAGGGACAAGTGAGACAGAAAGAGTCCTCCTCTAGAGAAGTCACACTGTGTGCCCCAGCTTCCAGGGGAGGACACCCTGGTTGAAATGACTTGGGGATGTACCTTTCCCTGAAGAATTATTCTGACATGCATGAAAAGGTATATATAAGGATACTCCTGGCTGCTTTGTTTATGCTAGCAAAAATCTAGAGGGGTCAAAGAGCATAAATGCCATCGTTAAATCACTGGTCCTTCATGAGGACAGCACCACCCCTCTAAGAGATGTTTAGGGAATTTAGATGGGTGTTTTGATGTCACCACCTTTGGGTTACTACCAGCACTTACTGGTTGGGGGCCCCAGTGTACCCCCCACAATGAAGAATTTGCCCCATCCAGCAAGGACTGTGGGGGTCCTGCCAGACACTTACATCGGTGAAAACATACCATCTGAGCCAAGAACTGAGCTCCACTATGTACAAACACAAAGTCATTTTTGCCCAATTTTACTATACAATGACTTTTCCAAGAACGGAACCAACGCATAAATGGAGACATTGTGGAATTTTGTCCGGTTTGAATCTTTACCAAGAGTTGCTCGTCACCTCAGGAAAAAATCATGAAATTCATGTCAACCTCACCCCAGGTATTTCAGCCATCGCCAACACACAGCAAAGTCTGTCTGCTTCCCGGGCTGCAGCCTGAGTGTCTCTGCAGAGGTGCGAGCGCCTGTCTGCTGCCCGGGGCCGTCTGCCACGGTGTGCCCGAGACACTCACGTGTCCACATGCATGTTAGTTTGTCATACATTGGTTTTCCGTCTACCTTCCTATTACAGTCAGAACAGGACATTGATGTTGACCGTATTTTAAGTACATTGTATTATTTATGACTTTTATTTCAGAAGAGTGTGGGAGGGTATTCCCCAATGCTTTCTATAAAAGGGGCCATTGGTCCAGAGTGTTTGCAATTACATAAAATAGGATACGTTATACTATGACATACTCTGCAACAGTTTAAAGGACTAGCTAAGTCTGTATATACTGTTACAGGAAACTCCTTAAGCCCCAGAGCTGAGTGAAGGAAGCTGACTCAGAGGCATCGCACAGCATGCACAGCTGATACCAGTTATCTGAACACACGCGCACAGAACCACACTGTATGGGACGTACGCGTGGGGACAAAAGGCTCGTGGAGGACATGCCTGAGAGCTCACAACATGAGCCGATAACAAGGGGAGGGAATCGGGGACGGCAGTCGGGTGGGTTTCTGCCTCATTTGTCATGTTTGTGTGTATACAGAGAGAGCAGAGACAGGCATTCCTTAATAACTCAAAATTCCTAAGATAAAAATTGGGGAAAAAAATTGCTGAGGGGAAAAAAAAGCGCTCTGCTCAAGCTCTCTCACTTGTGACCCCTGTGTTGGTGGCGTGGACTTCAGGGTGGCCTTCTGCAGGGCCAGCCTCCCTGCCACAGCGAGGCAGCGCCTGGATCCCTGCTGCCTTCCGCGTGGGCGGCAGGAAGAGAAAGCAGGCTGCCTGGGGCCCCAGCCTAGTCCAGGTGGGGTTCTCCACCAACGCACACCAGGAGGAAGGGGGCACTGCAACCCAAAGGTTTGCCACTCCAGGGGACAGCCTTGCACTGTCACCAGGAGCCGGATAGGGGGCCCCAAACCGCCACCCACTTTTCAGCTTTACACACAGGAAAGAAAGGCCAATTTCATGTCAGCCAACAAGGCAGGACTGAGCCAAGCTGAGCTCCCTCCCTGTGGCCCAGACCAAGACGCTATGAAGCATTAGGAGACCCCAGACACGTAGTCAAGAGGGGCCAGGGGCATCAGAGGAGGGGCTTGGAGAACTGCTGGGCCTTCTGCCATCGCCGTGGGGCGGCGGGCTCAGCACACTCTAAAGAAGAAGTGGGTACCTCGCCTCATGGTCCCATGTGACTAAATCATAGCGATCTCGGGGGTTATGCTCAGCAAAAGTGCCCCTTCCCGTGTTTGAATGGGCTTATTGCCAGTGTTAGGTCCACCAGACAGCTTGGAAGTCGCCTCTGGGAAGGCAGCTACAGCAGCAGAATTAATTGTATAGCCCAGTGTGGAGGAAGATGTTCCAAATGGGAAAGATACACGTCTGTAGGTGAAGTCAGAGCTATTTCTCAGGTCCCAGCAGCCTGAGGGACCAATGACACATCCCAGCGGCAGGAGGCTCCGTGATCTCCACGCTCAGCCCCCGTGGGCCTCACGCCCCCACACGGTTCTGCTCCCACAGCTCCCAGGCTCCTGATGTCACTGTCTGTCCTGGCTGCTGCCCATGGGCTCGGTCACCACCCACACCCTGCGGTCCTGCCTCAGGAAAGCACGCTCTCTCCATCAACCTTATGGAAAGTCAAGCCTTCAGTGACCACTCTGGTCTTTTTTTTTCCCTCAGGAGACACACTCGGGACAGGTGGCTCAGGACCCCTGAGAAAGCTTCCTGGATGAAAGAGCAGTGTCCCCTCACGGCTCACACACCTTCGCTGCCAACAAACCTGGACACAAGTTCCCTGCCATGCAGGCGTCCAGTTGAACGGCATTCCTTCCTGCTTCTTTATTTTCTTATACAATGTTCCCAGAGTCCCCAGAACCTGGCCATCACTACTAACAGCCTCTTCACAGGAATACAGAAAGATGAGCATTGAATGTAGGGAGGGCCCTGGACGGCATGGCTCAATGGGTTGAGCACCAGCCTGCAAAGCAAAAGGTTGCTGGTTTGATTCCCGGTTGGGGCACAAGCTTAGGTTACGAGCCAGTCCCCGGTTGGGGGCACATACAACCAATCAATGTCTCTCCCCCTCTTTCTCTCTCCCTACACCTCCCTCTAAAAATAAATAAATACTTTTAAAAAATGCAGTGAGTGTGTGAGTTCTGGTGTCACACCATCAGATTTGAAGATCACCTTTACCGCCGCTACTGTCTGTATAGCCTTGAGCTGTAAATGAGCGCACCCCGCAGGGTTCCCATAAAGGCTAAGTGAATGCACATGATGAACTCCACGCAGCTCTGCGTCACCGGAGAACTCCAGGAGCTCTATCCATGTCTGTCCCTGGGCCACCTGGGAGGTGTGCACGACGCACCCCTCACAACTTTCCTACGCGGCGGTGCACATTTTCTGCCTTACGTATTGGGCCCTTTCTTTAGTATTGCCTCCTTAAAACACTTCCATAGAGAGTGGGAATCTTTTTTGTTTTAAACCAGAGTTCAGCATGAATGCTTATATAAAGTAAGCCACAAATTTTACAGATGAACCCACTGAGCAGATAATAGCACACTTTAAAGAGGAGATTTCTTGAATCACATGACTATTCCATTCACAATAAAACACTCATAATTGAAGTTTTTATTTTCCACACAATGAGGTAGCGTTGTTTCTGCGGTAAGGTAATGTCTTAGGATGCATTCACAGAAGTCCACTAAATCCAAGATAAGGAAGCCTATATCCTTTGTGTACAGATGGAAAAATCTGCAGCACTCCTTGAGACAGCATTTCCAGATCAGATCCAGCCAGTGTGAGCAGACGCGGCTAGACCGAGAACCCTGGCCGAACTTCCTTGGGTGGCTCCAGTAGAGCTGCGGGCAACCCACCTGGCTCTCTCGGAAGCAACAAGGCAAAAGGAAAAAGGCGAGAGTGAGATTTCTTGTGAAAGTACGCTGGATTGATTTTGACCTTGTTTCTGGGACCTTCAAGTCGATGGCATTCATGCAATCATAGATCTTAACACTGACCAGGCCTTTACAGACCATGTGGTTCTGCTGAACCTCTGGTGAGATCTCCTGTCCCCACTGGAAGCCAGGAGAACTCAAGCCACCTGCCCAGGGCCTCCCCGCTAGCAGAGGAAGGGGGCTCGAAGGGAGTGAGGACACACCCAGTAAAATTAAGCATTTGGTCACTTCCATTGTATGTGAGTGTCCAAGGTGTCAAACTCTCCATCCCCTAAGGACCAAGAGGGTTTTTGGACCATGACCTTGCTGTCCCCACAGGCCAGTTACAATCAATGCTTCCTCAAGTCCTGGGGATAAAGGAAAGGATAATGATGACAATGACAAGGTCAATGCCATGCTTCTTTTATCCCATAGGTTTTCTTTTTAGTTCTGAGAACTGCAAAATGACAGCGAGGGATGTCTTTCAAGCCGGAAAGGCGATAAAGGAAGAGAGAACAAAATCAAATCCTCCCCAGGAAATAAAAGGCACATAAAGAACTGAGTGAATTGGGCGCCTCTTCCAGACAAAACCACTCTGGGCAGCAGACCAGAGCCACAGGAGAACAGTGAAGATCCCACACCCGAGGGAGAGAGCCGGCGGGCCAAGGAGCACTAGGCAGTGACCTTGATTCTCAGTCCGGCCGGACTGTGGGTCGGTATAAACCTGTATCGCAGAGCAGGAGCCTAAGGTAAATCACAGGGCTCGGAGGAGCAGACAGCAGGAATAGAGTGTAATAATGAAAGAAAGGACAGAAAAATGTCAGCGTGGTTGAAATTTTCACTCTCCTACCGGGTGCCAAGCAGCAGATGGCCATGGGTCCTTGGCCGCCTAGCCTTCCAAGAAAACCAAGACTCTGATTCCGCAAGGACCACCTGATGACACAGGTTCCACAGAAGGCTCTGCGGGGACAGAATAGACAAGGAGGAGGCTATGTCCCATGTCCCACCTCACTGCACATCTTCATACACGTCCTCTTGCATCTTGATCCTTTTTAGCTAATGTTTTGCTCTGAAAGGCAAAACACCCGCCGGATCTCGACATGCTCTCCCGTCCTGTCCTCTGTCAAACTACCCGCTTCCAGACAGACCCCTCTGGTGCCCTGCCTCTCACTCGCCACCACCAACCCCAGCTCGGTCTCTCCAGCCAGCGCACCCCACGCAGACAGACAAAATCCCGACACACGATTTGATTCCAACTACAATTCCGCACTCAGTTCCAATGTATGGGGCTTCCCCCCACACTCTCAAGCAATTCTGAGGCACCAGCTGGGTGTCCTACAACTCAGCTCTGACACTGTCTACCCAGAGGTAGCACTGGATCCCACGGGTTAAAGGCTCAGCCCCACAAGACTCTGCGCTTCCACTTGAGGTGCCAGTTCAAATCCAGATGGTCACCTGTGCTTCTGACCAACTGGCTGTACATCAAAGGTTCCCACAACTGCCTCCTGGGGTTTGATTAATTAGCTAGGGCTGTTCGCAGAACTCAGGAAAGCAGTTTACTCACTAGCTTATCAGTGTACTATAAAGGATATAACTCAGGAACAGCCAGGTGCAGAGATGCAGAGGGCGAGGTATGGGGAGGGGGCTCTGAGCTCCCGTGCCCTCTCCAGGTGAGCGGCTTTCCCCCACATCTGTACACGTTCCCCCAACGGAATGTTCTCCAAGCCTTGCCCTTCGGGGTTTTGCTGGAAGCTTCCTCAAGTAGTCATGGTTGGTTGAAGCAATGGGTGATTAACTCATCTTCCCATCCCTTTCCTCTCCCTTCCCCCTAGGTCAGGGGGTGGGACTAAAAGTTCCAACCTTTTCATCACGTGGCCAGGTCCCCTGGCAACCAGCCCCACACCTAGGGCTGTCCAGAAATTACCTCATTAACATAACAAAGAACACTTGTCACTCCCTTCTCTGGAAATGCCAGAGGTTTTAGGAGCTCAGTGCCAGAAAAGGGTCGCTAAGACCAAATATTTATTTCTTGTTATAAGTCATATTATCACACGGGTTTGTCACCATTATCTCTAAAGCGCTTTTCAGGGTGCAGCCCTTCATTCCAGAACACTTACTTTCATGCTGAGAAGTGCTTTTCTTTTCAATCACGAATATGACTCTATCAACATGATTATACTGTATGAATTGGTTAACTTCCCTCACCTCCCTGTCTAACCAGCCAACGCACCCTGTGATGATGCCAGTGAAATGCCGCTCGTCTAGGCCTTTCACCCACTGCCTGAGTTGGAGGCCTGATTCTCTCGCACCCGGACCTGTCTCTCTCTCTCTCGGGTTCTCCCCTCCCACTGCACTTTTCTCCACTGGCCACCGGAGCTCAAAACCACCGCCTGCTCACACGGTTCCCACGTTCAAAACTGGCTGCCTCCTGGTTACATGGAGGAGATCTCGTTCTGCAAGCTGGTCACCAAGGCCAGCTCCCACCTGCCTTCCTGAGGGTATCTTCCTTTCACCACGCCCCCGCCCCCTGCCCCTGGTTGCTGGCACATTCCCTTCTGTTCTTCAACGCTCTGCCCAAACTCCTTCTCCACATACAGGGTCCAGCAGAAGTAACGCCTGCTCGAGTGTGGTTGGTAGGGTATGTGAATATCTCACATGAGATGGACATCAGCAATTTGAACGTTTCACCAAAGATGTCATGTGGTATGCTTGAGCGTGACATTGTTATGTGACAGAATTACGTGCTTATGATTTTGTAAAAAAGATCTTTATGTAATACAACAGGGGTGTTATTTGTACTGGACCCTGTATAATACAGACCTCATATAATCCCCTCCCTGGCCCTGTTTTAGCTTCTCCCCCAGTATTTCTCACCACTTGAAAAACATATTTGGTTACTGATTTGTGTACTCTCTGGCTTCTCTCCCTAGAATGTAAACCAGTGAGGTGGGGATTTATCTTTTCTATTTTTTAAATTTATCCTTGTCTATCCCCAGCACCTAAAACAGCGCCTCCTAGCTCATTATAGGGCCTCAATCCATTTTTGCTGAGTGAGGGAAGGAAGGAAGGAAGGAAGGAAGGAAGGAAGGAAGGAAGGAAGGAAGGAAGGAAGGAAGGAAGGAAGGAAGGAAGGAAGGAAATCCTCTTTGGAAGCCCTACTACCCACCAGGCCCCAAGCAAGGTTCCATTCTCCCCATACTGTTCCTGTCCAAACCAGCTGCCTGTATTCTCACGCTTCTGCCTCTACCTTAGGGCTTACTAGAGCTGCCTTCCACTTGGGGGCACCTCTACACACACACACACACACACACACACACACGCTTCTAGAAGGCAAAGAAACCCCTGCATCTGAGGATGCTGAGTCTCAGAGAGGTTAAGAAAAATGTCCACAGTCCTACCCCGTGGAAGCAGGAAGCCTGAATTCTAGTCCAAGTCCGTCTGAATCCCGGGGCTACTGAACATCCTTTCCACTAACCTTGGTGCCTCTCTCAAGTGTCTTAACCTTGGCCTAAGAAACAGCACTTTCCAGTAATCATGTTAAAAGAAAGAAGGGAGGAAAGCTTGGAAGTGAAGGATAAAGAAGAAGAAGCCATGCTGCTGGCTGCCACTCTTCTGAGCCTGCACTCAGCCTAGAGGACAAGGCAGCATCTGCAGAAGGAGGTTTAGCAGGAGTGGGAACCTCTCTCTCTAGCTGGTACCCAACAGGCTCACTGCAAACAAGCCTTTCCTCCCAGGCAGCCCCTCCTCCATGGCTTGGTTCCTGCCTTTCTGTGTGTCTGATGCTGAAGACGAAGCAGGACCAGCCCCTCTCTCCCTCCAGTGCCCACTTGGACCTTTCCTCCTTTAATGTCAAAGGCCAAGTTCGTGGGAAGGCAAGGCAAGCTAAGAAAGCTGCTTTTTAGCCTAAAGCCTACCCATTTTCCTAGAGATGAGAATGCCTGCCACTTTCACACTGTGTGGATAAACAGTCTCGTGCTGTTCTAAGATTTTATAAACAGCAATTAAATCTATTTGATATATCGCACACCTGGAATTTGAAATTACAGGTGCAGTTACCTACTCTCCTCGCCAGGTGGCGCTGAGATTTTTATGACCTAGGGCCTGGGTCCCTTCCTAACTCAGGGATATGTTTAGAGTGATACATATTGATTCCTTAAAAGAGGTAACTGGTATGTGTATGTTCAAACGTGTGTGTGTGTTTACATTTATAACAGTAACTTTCTAACTAGGACTTGTTAGAAGAAATTGCAGATCGCCCTAAGAGAATCACTGCATTAAAAACAAATGAAAAACCTCTTCAAAGCATAAAAAGAATCAAGTTTATGCCCCATTAATAGAGCTCATACTTACCAACTACTGCTTTTATAAGACAACAAGGTAATATCACCTCCAGGCCACCGGACCAGCCACTTAAAACTGTGAGTGTGGGCTATGCCAATGTACATCCCAGCCTTCTCCAGCCGTTCATTCCCCAGAACTCCCAGCCTAGACTAGCAATAAAATCGTACATTTTTCAAATAAACCAAGCCTAATCCGGAAGGCAAAGCCCTCTCGTCGCTCATACCAGCCACACTGGTATGGACTTTAAACCATGGCTGGTTTCCCACTCACCCTCCTCCTGCGGTCTAACCAGTAAACGTTTTGACAAGGACCAAGTTCAGGCTCTTCTCCCAGAGGATCTGGTGTTCAACACCTGTCTCAACTTGTTCCTGTTGAATTTCTGACGTGCCCCAGTTCACTGAGCTGCATTTGTTCTCGTCCTTTCCCTGCCTCCCTTCTACCTGCCTGAGCACTGGGGCAGCGCTTGAGTGTCTCAGGTGAGCCGCATGAACTTCGCAGGCAGTCAAACAAACAAGGTCAGGTGGAGACGCAGCGGTTTCTCCTGAGACACACACACAAACGTCAGGATGAGGAATTCTGAGCCCCCTGAAGGGGCCGGGACCCTCTCCAGGTTTGCATGTCCTCGCTCCAGAAATTCCATGAACTCACAGGATGGTGAACCGGTTTTGTTTTTACTCTGGAGCAAGTAAGACCAGTTAAGAATGAGGGTGCGGAAGGGGTTGAGGTAAAGGTTGTACCAAAATATGCACTTGGAAGTGAGGCATCATCCCCAGCAAATTCCCATGGCGCCCCCTTAGTCTTGCGCATTAGCACCAGGAACAGTCCCATCTGCAGCCCCTTTGTGGCTGCCATGGTCCACTCTTCGACTCGGGCCTCCCCTTCTGAGGTCCAGGCTAGAATGGCATGCAGGCGTGCAGCCTCTCCTCCAGCTTCTCGCCCCTAAAACAAACAGAATGCTTTGGAGGTGTTAATAGGGCCAATACAGAGACATTTTTTTAAACCTTTAATCCATTGTTGTTGTTTTTTTAAAGATTTTATTTATTTATTTTTAGAGAGGGAAGGGAGGGAGATAGAGAGAGAGAGAGAGAAACATCAATGTGCGGTTGCTGGGGGTCATGGCCTGCAACCCAGGCATGTACCCTGACTGGGAATCGAACCTGCGACACTTTGGTTCGCAGCCCACGCTCAATCCACTGAGCTACGCCAGCCAGGGCTCGGAGACATTTTTTTAAAAAAGCAAATGCAGAAAGAAATGCCACATGTCCCAAAGTATCAGAGTGGTGTTTATTCCCGTAATGCCTCATCATCCAAACGGACTGAGTGATTTCTCTTAGCTCTTTCTTTATTCTTCGTTTGCCTTTTCTTGAGATCCAAGCTTCAACTGAGCAGCCCTTTTAAGTCGGGGGCTGATGCCACTCAGTCTCCTTCTTCAGTTCAGCAGACATTTCCTTTGATTCTTCAGACCTATTTGATTATTTTATTTGATTCTCCCAAATAACCCTGTTCTGGAGGACACAGATTGTGTGGTGATACCTTATCACATGTACACTCACCTCCTGTATTGTGAGGTAGGTGTTGATCACCATCTCCCCCATGTAGTAGGTGAGGAGGCCGAGGCTCAGAGAGGCTAGGTGATTTGCCCAAGATCACACCCCTATCGAGGGGAACAGTATGAGAACCCGTGCCCCTGGCACCTCAGAGAAAACTCCAAACTGCCTCCATCCCCAAACAGCCCTGCTTCTGGTATGAAGAGCTGCAGCTACCTAAACAGATTAGGTGTCTTCCTCGGGGCAAAGAGAATATGGAGGAGGGGAGGGAGGGGGGCGAAGAGGCATCACTGGGGTGGGTGGCATTGCTCAGAGCCGGCTCTTCCTATATTTAAGCTGGTAAGGAGCCATGGGGCTAACAAAAAGTCTCCTTGAAAAAGGCACGGAAGTGCCTTCTGGGAACATGAAGCCTGTTTGAGAGACACCCTGATTAGCCAGATAAACCAGGGGAGTCACCCAGTGCAGCAATTCAAGAGTAGAACGTTTAACCGCCAGTCAAGAGGGCTTTAAAAAGAAGGTGTTCTTCACACAATGGAAGGGCATACAGCAATGAGCGTAAATCAGCACCGACCACATGAATAAATCTCCCAGACGTAAGGAAATGAAAGAACTCAGACACCAAAGAATGCCTATCGGATGATTCTATTTTATACAGTTCAAAAACAGGCAGACCTAATCCCTGAGGGTTTTTTTCTTTCTTGTATTTTCTTGTTTATACTTTAAAGCAGGATTTTGTTTACCCTTGGGTGGGGCAGGTGGAGGGGTGGAGGCAGGGAGTAGAACAAAAGTTAGGTATTCACTACTTTTTTTTTTTTTTTGCTTCCGGAAACCCTGAGTAGAGCCCGCAGACCACAGAGTCAGATAGAACTGGGGTGAAATCCTGATTCTGTGACTAACTGACTTGGGGCAACTACCTTCGACTCCCTGTGCCTCAGGTTTCTGCATCTATAAAATGGGGCTAATGATAACCTCCCGCCAAGTGTTGGTGTGAGAAGTCAGTGAAACAATGCCTGTGCAGTGCCTGGCAGCCTGCGTAGGCCTGCAATAAATGGTGGCTGTGGCCATCCCGCCTCTGCTGCCCGCGGCAGAGGAGGGCCAGAGAGCAGACAGGAAAGAGTGAGGCGGAAGCAAAGAGGAGGACCCAACGAGCCGGACGATCAAAGATGTGCAGAGGCCACCGGCTGTCGTACGGAAAAGGCTGTTTCTCCCCTCCTCACTGGGCTCGGTCTCCCAGTTCATGTTGCCTGCAAGTGCAGGCCAGCCCCACGCAGCCCAGACAAAGCTGTTTGGGGCCCACGCATGCAGGCCCTTGCTAGGGCACGCAATACCCACTAGCCTGGTGAACTAATGTGCGCTGACGCTCTCATTGTGGTTGCTGGCAGCTTACTGGGTTACCCTCCAGATTAAGCAGGGTTTTAGCCAGCCTGTGGACATAGAAGGCCTTGACCCAGGCTGGGTGGAATCTGCCTTACCCCAGGTCAGCAAGGAGCCAGGTGTGTCTAGGGCGCCCACACAGGGAATACTGGTTAGCAAGCAGAAGGAGCAAACTACGGAGGCCCACAGAGTGGGTGGGCCTGAGGGCTCATGCTGAAGGGACAGAGCCAGGATCCGGACACTACTTGAAATTTTGGACCGGGACACATTTTGTCAGGAAGTCTGGGGCCGGAGGTGGGATTGGCCGCAAAGGGCAGGAGGGTTGTTTTTTGGGTGATGAAAGTGTTCTGTAATTGACAGAGGTGGTGGTTACCAGGGCGTCAGCATTTGTCAGAACCCATTGAACTGTACACTTGGAATGGGAGCAATTCATTTTATGCAAATGATCCTGTGGTATAATTGTTTTTAAAAAGAAAAAAAAATAGATGCCTAGTCACAGAGGTCGCTCCACTCCGGGAGTAACCTGGGAGACTTCAGTGAGGGGAACCTCAGTAAGTCATATGTGGCCTTGCTGGGGGACAAAAAATAACTTTCCTCCCATCTTCCAAGTGCTAGCTGGGCTAATACTCGAATTAACATGAGACAGATTAACAGGACCACATGTCCAAAAGTCACTACAGAGCACATGGGGGAGGGCACGCCATGAGACATGAGCCCCCAAACCCCATCGGGCAGCTGAGGTTTCTATGCCATGTTGGACAAAGCGGAGGGGTGGACATTTGCAATTTTAAACCGAAAGCAGGCAATTCACAGGTAGACGAGAAAGCACAGACACATGGCCGACGAACACTCACAGGCCCACCTGGAAACACAGGGACATGGAGACAAGTTCAACAAGCAGAGTCTGCCAGGTGTCTGTCTCCCTGTCTGCTGCATGCAGTTCACTGGTGTTGTAAAATTAAGGTGAAGCTCCTCTCCTTTAAGGAGGCTTTTTCTACCAGAGTTCCTTGAGGAAGGTAAGAGGGGAAAGTCAAAGATACTTTCTGAGTCTTCTATTTCTTAATAACCAGCTTAAAATCAATATCCCAAAAGGCATATTTGGGAGTGGGGGGGTGGCGGTGACCCCATTGCTCTCCCTTAGCCCGTTCGTTGTTCCAGCACTCTAACATCCATCCAGGACTTAAGAGTTAGCAAAGCGCTTTCTCCTCTTTGACTCATCACACCAGCCCCAGGAGGTGGGCACCACGGATCCCACGCTACAGCGAAGGACATGGAGGCACAGCTGGCCCAGGTCCTCTGACTCTGAACCCCGCCTTCTTTCCTGGAAATGGCCCCAGAGATCAGCCAGGTCTAAGGAAACTCAGGTCCGGAGCGTGTAAATAACTTGACAAAAGCTGCGCTGCTAGTTAAGGACAGAGGCCAAATGGAAGGTGTGCCTCCTCCCACGGCAAAGGGAATGAGGAATTGTCAACTGGGATCATGCTGAACGCAGCTGGAAGGTGGGCTTTCACGCCCCCGCCGTGCTGACCCGGGGGCTGAGAAGCAATCTTCAACAAAAGCAAGACTCCTGTGACTCCACCTCCGCCTACCCCAGCAGCCCCCACCCCACCCCCCTTGAGTCCCCAGAGCCTTGTAACTTTAACAAACTACAGCAACGTGCACATGCATTACCTCACCACAGTCTGGCTGATTTCCTAGCAGCAATTGTCCAAAGCTTGCTCCATTTCCCCCTCCTGTTGGCTGTGCACCCTTCGCCCATTCCTCCCTGCTGAAGTCACCAAGCTCTGACCCCAGTGAGCCTGTGGGGGGCCTCCGCCTCTTCCCCAAAGGCCTTCCATTAGAAAGAGGCCCCCGGTGCTGAGCGGGTGGGTTCCTCGGCCCCTCTGTGTGTATGTGCTAAAAGCATGTGTACGTGTGCAAGTAGAAGGGGGAAACTGATGCCGTGCACACAGGGGGAAATCCTGGGAGAATCACAAGGAACGGTGGGTGGGGGTAAACTTTGGGGACAGGAATTGGAGGGTGGAAAGAGGGAGAATTCAACTTTCCCTTCTGTGTCTTATCTGTTTCGTGTACATTTTCCAACCAACGTACATGCACTGTATTTACTTATTCATACCAGTGAGGATAGCGTGGGTTGGGACATTACAAGCCCTTTTCTTTATATAGGTATAAATAGAACACACACACACACACACACACTCAGAGAAGTATTAATTTTTGAAACTAAAACAAGCGCCTAGAATGAATGCACCGCCTCCCTTCCTCCACAGTGACCAAAACACACAAGGACTTCAACAACAGGAGAGCGATGCGTGATTCACCCCCATGCGATGGGGCCGGGGAGGGGTTCAGGAAGCAGGGCTCCGCGAGCGCAGGCCACTGCCCGTGCGCAGTGAATGCGCCACTCCCCTCTGAGCCTCCGGCACCTGTTCTGCACCTCCCCTGCGGTCCACCCCTGCTGACATTTCAGTCACCCGTGTGCTCGCTTTATGCCCTGGCCCCCAACACTCCTCAGAGGAATGGTTTGTTCAGGGCAAGGCAAGGACGACTTCCTCTTTGATGTTTCCAGGCTTAATGCATGGAAAGTAAAAACAGAATAAGCAGCTATTAAATATAATAGAAGGCCATCCCCGAGAGGTTGGGAGGCCGGTGGATTGACACCACCACTAGGTAGGGCTAAAGCAGGCTGGACCCCTTCAGTCCCAGAATCCCCCAAGCTCCTCTTGCCTGCTCTGCAAAGTGCAAGGTAAGGTCAAACGCCCTACTGTGCCTGCTGTGTTTACGGGGACCTTCGCCATTCTGGCCGGCACCTGCACCTCCCTTTCTTCCTGGCTCCCAACATAAATCCTGCGCCCCAGCAGTCAAGCTGGCCCATTCACCACTCCCAGGACGCACCTTCCTGCCTTCGGGCCCTTGCTCACGTCTTTCCCAATCTCTGCCACGCAAAACCCAACTCACAACGCCTACTTCCAGAAGGCTCACCTAAAGTGCCCTGCCGGCTGAGTGTGCTCCGCTTCCAACCTTCCAGGAGCTTCTCCAAGGGCGGACCCCGCCCTACATTGGGGTTATCTAAGCCTTCCCCTACTGGACTGAAAGCCCCTGCCTTCCTCGGTATCTGTGACAGTGCTGGGCCCTGAAGAAAGGCGGGGAGAGAAACACAAGGTATAGTTGAAATCCAAGGCAGAATGAGGCTAAAGGCTGGATCAACACTGGGTTGGCAGGGTTAGAATTAGGACTGGGTTAGTCCATTCCTAATCCCACCCACTAGGCGGCGCCGGCAGTCTCATTCCGGTCAAGACGCCTCCGGTTTTAGAAGTTTATTACCTGTCGAACAAGTTTCCTTCCTGCCCTACTGTCCCTTTAAGAAGGTGATCCAGGTGAGGCCGGGACTCCGCCCCCCGGGAGCCAGCCCCGCCCCCCGCCCCCACTCGGCCGGCCTGGCTCCCCTCAGTCCTCGCCACCTGGCTCAGCAGTCTGGGCCACTGTCCCAGGTCCCGGCTCCGCGCCATGGAGCGGCGCTGGCTCCTGGGGCTTGGGCTGCTGCTGCTGCTCTGCGCCCCGCTGCCCCCAGGGGCGCGCGCCAAGGAAGGTACAGACCCCCACCCCCGGCCCATCCCTTCCCCTCGTCCTGCTGGCACCCTCCTCCAGGAGCCGGCATTCCTGAGGAGGCCTCTCCTCGCGCCCCTCTCCCGCGCTCTTGCTTTATCGGCGTCAGGGCATCGACTGGCCAGGCCAATCTTTGGTCTTTGAACCCGGACAGCTGCTTTCACGGGCCAGCCACCCCCGCCCCTGCTGGGCAGCAGTTTGCGAGTGGGGGTGGGGTGCGAGGAGCAGCGTCCAGACCCCCACCCCAACAATGGCGGGCGGGTGAGGGGGGTCCTCGCGACTGGGCCCTCTCAGCCTCAAGCGCCCAGCCCAGGCATCTGAACCCTCTGCTGTGGGAGGTGGAAGCGCCTTATTGTCAACCTAAGCCAGGCGACAGAGAGACCTGCCGCTGGAGAAGGGTTGGAACTCGGGGCGCAAGGGTTTCAGATGTAGAGGCCAAGCCTTCCCTGGGCAGGCTTGCCCAACCTCTCCGGCTCTGCTACCCCGACTTCCCAGACTTGGAGCTGTGTATTGTACCCCCCTCCACACCGCCAATCACAGGCAGAGCAGGCCCCTTGCCAGTGGTGGGAGCCTGCCACTCAGAAATCACTCTAAGGTCCCCTGTCCACCTTCTACCCATTCATGACCCCCCGAAGCTGAGCACCTGTCTCACCCACACACCCTTGCATTCTGCAGCTGATGGGCCCCCCGCTGAGGGAGAGGGTGCAGGCCCTCCCTGTGGCAGCTCTTCCAAATGCTCCCTACGTTTACTTGGGTCAAAGACCCAGCCCTCCAACCCTTGCCCCACTTTGCTTTCCTCCTGTCACACTCCAGAGGGACAACGGGCTATTAGTCCCCGGAGCTCTCCAGTCCTTCCTGGGCCACTGTCCCCGCCTGAGCCTCGGGACGTCCCAGCTCTCAGGAACAGGATGCTGGGGACTGGGGGCCCAGGATGAGGAGTGTGGGCAGCTTGTGGGGGCCCCCTCCCCCAGAGGTGACAGGCCCCTTTCCTCCCCACCTTCAGTCACTCTGATGGACACGAGCACCGCTCAGGGAGAGTTGGGCTGGCTGCTGGATCCCCAGGACGGGGTAAGTGTCAGGGGAGGGCAGGACTCAGGATGGCTCAAGGCTGAGGGCCAGTGGGAAGCGGGGTGGAGAGGTGGGTGGAGGAACAGGAGAAAAGAGCAGGAAAAACTGGAAGTGCCTCCTCTGGAGGGGGAGGGGAGGTGACTCAGAACCTCCTGAATGGGGCACGGTGGGGGTCAGGCTTCACCCCATGGGGAGAGCTTCAATGCCTGTCTCCTCCCCTTCCTGCCCCAGGGCAGAGGGGCTGCAAACAGCTTAGGACCTTCTAGGGAGACAAGGGACCATCCTGGGGATGGTAGAGGGCTGAGACCAAAACAGCAAAGCATCCTCAGTCTGAGGTCCACTCATCCCAAAAGAAGTTGCTAAGATAAGTTCCAGGGCATCAAGGAATCCCACAGAAGTATGTTCAGAGTTGTGTGTATGTATGTGGACTTTTTTTTTTTTTTTTTTGCTGGAGAGGATAGCCGGTGTCTTCATCACGTTCTTCATAGGCACTGTGACTCCCCCAACGTTAGAAGCTGCCTCAGTAGGGGTCCCCGAGCCCTGGCCTCTCCTCCCCGCTCCCCAGCACAGGCACATCATGTGTCCCCCCAGCTGTTGAAGTCTGCCTCAAGTCTCCTGGACATTCCTAAAACCCAGGGAGCAGAGGTCGGACCTTGAGTCCCAGAGAACACCTTCTGGCCACTCTGCAAGGTGTGCAGGGAACTCGGGAGGCTGGCCCGGTTGCCGCAGCCTCCAGGACCCTGGCCTTAGAGTCCTAGAATGTATGGCCTGTCTTCCCTCTGGTCCTAAACCCCTTTCTCTGGGGTCCCCTTTTCCCTTTCCTATCAGCCTCGGTTTCTGGGGTTGGGGTGACTGGCTTTCTCTCCCTCTGTGCCCTGGGGTCCTGGATCGATCTCAGCTCTCCCGCAGAGTAGCCTGTAATTAGAATTAATAGACTAAACCATAATGTATCCTACAGGAGGGGCTGCTTGGAAAATCCCGCATTAGGCCAGCCCTAATAGGCGCCTCATCTCATAAACCAGCTAATCGTTCCACAATGAGGGCTGCGGGCCCACCTGCCGGCTCCCACAGGCCTGCACCGTGCCCCTGCCACCTCCACCCAAATAACTCTTCCCTAATTGGGCCAGAGTGGAAGCCAGGCGCCCTTCGCAGCCCAGGCTACACAGCACTAGGAGGGCAAGAAGACAGCAGCTGTTACACACCCCCGCTGTTGTCCTTGTCCTCTCGCCTCCTCATCTTTTCAAAACACGCACTCAGGTCCAGGCTCCCCAGAAGGCACTCACATAGCAGCCAGCAGTGCCTGAGTGATAAGTGAAAGGACCCTTGTTGCTGATCCCGGGCAGCTGGTCCTCGCCTTTGCTCACCGCTGGAACCCGGAGAGGCGAGTTACAGCTGGGAACATCTGCTTCTCCGGCTCCAGCTGTAGTCTGGCTAAGACGCTGCGCATTAGCCACCCACCGCCCTCCCACCTGCCCTCCACTTCGCTCTGGGTGCCTTCTGTCACCCCAGCTTCAGTGCCTCGACAACCCTCGCCCAGTCTGTGAACTCCCTAACGTAATGCAGAAACCTGTCCCTGTCCCACGCCACCCCACGTGGGTAGTTTCTTGCCTTTTCCCAGGGCAGAGAGTAGCGATGAATGCCCTCGGATTAATGGAGTGGAAGGCTTGGGAAAGGGAACTTTCTCAAGTGAAGGCCAGTAGTCTCTTCTCTATAAACTGAGGAGGTTGCAACCCAAATATCAAAGGAATATTTTATGAATTTCAGAGTTTCTTTCTTAAGTTCATCTGGCAGGGAAAATACTTCTGAATAGCTAATATTTTTTGGAAAGGGAGAATAATGAAACAGCAGACTTGCCCAGATGCAGGAGTACTCAGGTCAATGGAATAGAATAGAAAGCTCAAAAAGAAACCCACGTATATGAGATTTTAGTATGTGATAACTTCGGAATTGCAAATCAGTGTGGAAAGTGTAAGCTTGTCAATAAGTTGACAATTGAATGCCTATAATTTTTTTAAAAAGGCAAAATTGCATCTTTGTACTATACCAAAAAAAATAAGTAGTAGGGAGATTAGAATTCAAATCTAAAAACCAAAGCTATAAAAATACTAGCAGAAAATATAGACATTTACAAGTTTGGGACAAGTTTGGGATGGGATGTGCTTCTCAAACAAAGCACACAACCCCAAAATCATAAAGGAAAAGACTCTAGATGTTATTATCTAAAAATTTTAAATATATGTCAACATCAAAGACATTATTAGCCAAGTAAAAGGGCATGACAGGGAGAAAATATTTGAAACATGCATTTCAAGCAAATGGTTAATGTCCATAATACTTAAAAAGCTCATCCAAGTGAACAATCAAAAGATAACAATAGATCACCCCCCAAAATTCCATTGAACATAAGTAAACAAATAAAACTTGAGAAAAAAGAAAACAATAGCATATCAGACAAGAGATAATTGCATAAAAATACAAATAGCCAGTGAACAAGAGCAACATACAATCTCCTCTCAAAGAAATATAGATTAAAATGGCAAGAAGCTGCATTCTGTCTGTAAGACTAGCCAAAAATAAGAAAATTTTAATATCCAGTGTTGACAAGCTTTACAGAAAATGAGCTCTGGGGCATTACTGGTGGAAGTATAAACTGAGAAAGTCTTCTTGGAGGATAATTTGGCAAAATGTTATAAAATGTGTAATATGTTTACCCGTTGATACAGCAGTTCTGTAGAAATCTGTATATGTTTACTTAAAAAAAAAACAGCTGGAAGCTCCCTAGATGCCCAACAATAGGTGAATGATGAAATAAAGTTTGGTACATCGACCCAATGGATGACTATTTTATGGATTGCTAAAAAGAAGTAGGTGGATCTCTATACATGCATGTGGATATCTCAAAGACTTCTGGCTAAAAGCAAACACTATCTTACAGAATAACACTTGCATATTTTTTTTAATTTATGTTGAACACACACACACACACACACACATTCAAACATTGCGCTAGAGGTGCTAAAAATGGTCTGTCAAGTTTTACTCCAAATCGGTAAGAGTGGCTTCCTCCAGCAGTTGGGGTGCATGGATAGGAGGACTTTCACTTTTTACTATATGTAAATGTTGGTCCTTTGATTTTGTAATAAGCACATAGAGACATAATGACTATCGGCATAAACTCAGGAGCCCAGAGTGCCTGGGTGCACATCCCCGCGCTGCCTCTTCATAGCTCAGTGCCTTGGGCAAGTTATGTAAGCTGGCTGTGACTCAGTTGCTTCATGGGAAGTGCTAGCCATGATTAACTGAGTTGAAGCATTCTTTTTAAAGTAGGAGAAATTAAGGAGGGGTGGACTGGATGGTGCCCAGGAGTTGTTGGTTTTGACAGGGGCCATTACTGGATGCGTGTGGGACGGGGGAGATTCGCTTACACAGAAGCATTCTGTGCTGCTGCTTGCTCCCCAAAAGCTGACGGACCTCAGTATTGAACACGGTCTCCTCTTCTCTGAACAAATGGGCAGAAAATTTTGTGAATGAGCTTTGGCTACGAAAGTCTGCCCTCAGTAAACAAGCTTTACTGATGAAATAGGTCAACATTGGTGCCCAGACATTTGTACTTGGGGTGCGCTACTTGAAGGGACCAGGGCTGGCCAGGGAGGTAAAGGGGGTGTCATCTCCCCCATTCTGTATCCGTATAGATCTCTCACTCTAACACTCAAATCTACTACTCTGGGGCTGAGGGGATGGGGAGAGGGCAGGACAAGTAGGGTGAACCTGGGGGGTTCTGACCCCGGCTTCCTTGCCGTGAGCTCTGGAACACAAAGACCAGGAGACTGACTTTGCCTTTCCTCCGGCAGTGGAGCGGGACGCAGCAGATGCTGAATGGGACCCCCCTGTACATGTACCAGGACTGCCCCGTGCAAGGAGGCGGAGACACCGACCACTGGCTTCGTTCCAATTGGATCTACCGAGGGGAGGAGGCTTCGAGCGTCCACGTGGAGCTTAAGTTTACCGTGCGAGACTGTAAGAGCTTCCCCGGGGAGGCGGGGACCCTAGGCTGCAAGGAAACCTTCAACCTTCTGTACATGGAGAGCGACCAGGACGTGGGCATTCAGCTCCGTCGGCCCATGTTCCAGAAGGTACTTTCACCCCTCAGGGCCATTTGGACCCCTGCCTCCCTCCTTCCCATGTCCCCACTCAGCTAAGACAAAGCCGAAGACCTAGGTGTCCGATAATGAGGAGGCAGTGGGACTGGAGTTCAGAAGAACTGGATTTGAGTACCTTTGCGGCTGCGTCCCGACTCTGGGCGTGCGTCCCTTTACCTCTCTGAGCTCTGGTTTCCGTGTCTTAACGTAGCAGTAGTAGAGGCCGCCTCGTTTTTTGCCAGCATCCGCTGCAATAACAGCGTGCCATGCGGGAGGCGGGGAAGAGGTGCTCCAGCCTCTTCCAGCTGGGTGCTTCCCATCAGCACCCACGGCGTTCTTGCGTGACCCGTCCCCATGGGCACTGCCCCAGTCCTGTAGGAAGGTAGTTCTCTGCAGGTGTCTCTCCTAGCAGTCCTTTCTTTCCTACTCAAGGAAAAAAAAACAAAACAACAACAAAAAAAAAACACTGGAGCCCCGGCTGGTGTGGTTCACTAGATTGAGTGTGGGCCCACAAACCAAAGAGTCGCTGGTTCAATTCCCAGTCAGGGCACATGCTTGGGTTGCTGCAGGCCGGGTCCTCAGTAGGGGTGGCACATGAGAGGCAACCACACATCAGTGTTTCTCTCCCTTTTTTTCTCCTTCCCTTCTCTCTAAAAATAAATGAATAAAATTAAAAAAAACCCCACTGGAATGCAGAAGAGTTAAAAGCATATGATGATAGGATGTTCTCACGGATTTTCCCAAAGAGACGATGTTGTAAAGTTTGTTATTGGTAATAAATGAATTATGACACACTTTATAACCGATCATCCCATTGGCACGGAGGCGGGGCTACAGCTTCAAGTGGCAGAAATTATATGAGCCAGTGCCCCACGGCCCAGGTTCCGAACCTAGCGGTGTGACCCCAGACAAGCTCTCCCACCCCTCCTAGCCTCAGTCTCCTTGTCAGTTAGATGGGGATGGCTGTTCACTCCACCTCTCTGAGGCCATTGCCTGGACTGAGTAGCATAATGCATCTAAAATGCTTAGCTCAGTCGCTCCCATGTAAAAGCCCTCGGTTTATGGTTGTGTGATGGCAAAGCATTAAGCAAGCTATTGTTTCTGTTGTGTGGTTGCTCCCCTCTGCCCCCGCCTCCCCAGGTCACCACGGTGGCTGCAGACCAGAGCTTCACCATCCGGGACCTCGCGTCTGGCGAGATGAAGATGAACCTGGAGCGCTGCTCCCTGGGCCACCTCACACGCCGCGGCCTCTACCTCGCTTTCCACAACCCGGGGGCCTGTGTGGCCCTGGTGTCCGTACGCGTGTTCTACCAGCGCTGCCCTGAGGCTGTGCACGCCTTGGCCCAGTTCCCTGACACGCTCCCCCGTCCCGGCAGGCTGGTGGAAGTGGCGGGCACCTGCGTGCCCCATGCCCAGCCGAGCCCTGTCCCCTCGGGAGCCCCCCGCATGCACTGCAGCTCCAACGGCGAGTGGCTGGTGCCCATGGGCTGGTGCCACTGTGAGCCTGGCTATGAGGAAGGCGGAGAAGCATGCCTTGGTAAGGGTATCCAGGGAGGTGGTGACACCCTGCAGGGGCCACTCGGGGGAGGGGGACAGTGTCCAGGGTGCCGAGGGAGGGAGGGAAACCAAGGCTCTGTGTCAGAGATTATTAAACTGAGTGAGTGTCTGAGGGCCCTAGGGTTGCATATGGGGGAGTGTTTCCAATACAAGGATGCGGTGAGGGCGGGGAGGGTGTGATTCTACCCATGAAAACACCGAATGACCACAGCACTGTGCACCCTCTGCAGCCTGCCCCAGCGGCTCCTACCGGGCGGACATGGACTCGCCCAGTTGTCTCAAGTGCCCCCAGCACAGCACGGCCGAGTCTGAGGGAGCCACCCTCTGTGCCTGTGAGAGCGGCCACTACCGAGCCCCCGGGGAGGGTCCCCAGGCAGCGTGCACACGTGAGTCCCGGGCAGGACCCAGCCGCTGGGGAGGGGCGCGGGGCCCTTGCTGAGCCCGTGTTAGGACTGGAATCGCCCAGGGCTTATCAGGTATTGGGCACTGACTGTCTGGGGTGTCCGACACTTAGAGTTTCTCCCCTGCCCCTGCTCACCACCCTGCCCCCCCAAAATGCAGAGCCCAGACAAAGCTGCCTTTTCCTCAGTAGGAGTCCGGCTCCCTGGCGGCCTTTGGTGGCCTTCAAGAATTGGGGTGGTAAGGAGCCAGCAGGTTAGGCTGCTACTCATGGCCCCTCTTCTCCCACAGGCCCCCCCTCAGCCCCTCAAAACCTGAGCTTCTCTGTTCTGGGGGCTCAGCTCTCCCTGCGCTGGGCACCCCCGGCCGACATGGGGGGACGCCAGGACGTGAGATACAGCGTGGAGTGTTCTCAGTGTCAGGGAGCAGGGCCGGGTGAAGGCGCCTGCCAGCGCTGTGGGGAAAACGTGCGCTTCTCCCCGGGGGCCAGGGGGCTCCTCGTGCTCTCGGTGCATGTCCACGGCCTTGAACCCTACACCAACTACACCTTCAACGTCCAAGCCCAAAATGGAGTGTCGGAGCTGGCCACCTCCAAGTCCACCAGTGCCTTGCTCAGCGTCAGCCTGGGGCACACAGGTGAGGGGGGGGGCCCGGCAGCGGGCGGCGGGGGGACCGGCCCCGGAGGGAGCCCCAGGAACAAACTGATGGGCAGGGAGCCATCGAAAAGCTGCTCAATGATTTCCTCTTCCAAATCCACCGGGACCCTCTGGGCTCGCAGAGGCACCAGCTGGCCTGTCGCTGAGGCTGGTGAAGAAGGAGCCGCGGCAGCTGGAGCTGACCTGGGAGGGGTCCCAGCCGCGAAGCCCGGGCGGCAACCTGACCTACGAGCTCCACGTGCTGAACCAGGTGAGGACGCGGCTGAGTGAGTCTCCAGGTCTGTTCCTGGCCCACCCCAACGTCTGGCCTCCGGGCTGCAGGATGGCTCCCTGGGACGAAAACCTACACAGAGCCCTGCGATGGTTACCCCCCAACCCACGCCTCTGCCTCTGTGTGCTCCCAAGCCCGCCCGTCCCCTCCACCAGGCCGGGCTCCGCCCGGCCCGGTCAACACGAGCCCCGCCCACAGGATGAAGAATGGCACAGGATGGTGCCCGAAGCCAGAGTCTTGCTGACCGAGCTGCAGCCAGACACCACGTACACCGTCAGGGTCCGGATGTTGACCCCGCAGGGCCCCGGCCCTTTCTCCCCCGACCATGAGTTTCGGACGAGCCCACCAGGTGGGTGGCTCACCCTTTGCTCTGCCCCAGATGCGCAGGCACCCGTTGTCCCACCGAGGCCTTTCGGACCCTGTTCCAGCCAAGCACCCTTCCGCTCTGTCCACACACCCACACACGCTGCTTCCAGAGCGGGGGGCGGCCCCACACAGACGCGCACCAGGTCTCCCCACAGTGATCTCAGGCACGCCTGCCGCCCCTCCGCGCAGCCAGCCGGCATCCCAATCAGATCTGACCGCTCACTGAGCGCCCAGCCGCAGGCAGCCAGGCTGCGGTTCCTCTGGGCGGCCCTTCCCACGTGCTCGCTCTCCCTCCCACGCACCTGTCTCCCCAGTTACGGGACGCACCTGAGGCCGGCAGCGGGCCCTGCCCCTGGGCTCGCCCTGCTGGCCTCCGGCCCATCAGCCCCTTGGACTCTGAGTGCCCAGCCTCCCTCACGTCACCTTGTGTGTGTGCCTCAGTTTCCAGGCGCCTGACGGGAGGCGAGATCGTGGCCCTCGTCTTCGGGATGCTGCTGGGCGTGGGGCTGCTGCTCGGGATCCTCGTCTGCCGGTCCAGGTGCCCCTCCTGCCCCTCCCCAGACACCACCCCGGGTCCCTTCGTCTGGCCAGAAGCCCCTGAAAGCAGTCCCAGCAACCCTCCCATCCTCCACTGTGCCCATGCCTTGACCCTGCACCCTGGGAAAACTCAGCCAGGGTCCCTGAGGTGATCCCGGGACCCTGAAGAAGCTGTCCCCTCCCCTCCCCTTCCCCCCAGGAGAGGTCAGCGACAGCGGCAGCAGAGGAAGCGGGATCGTGTCGACAATGTGGATGGAGGTGAGCCAGGAGAACCTGTGCACGTGTGTGCATGTGTGTGTGCATGTGTGTGCACATGTGTGTGCATATGTGTTGGGAGGTGCCTCTGGGGGCGGGACCAAAGGACCCACATTTCCTGGGCCAACATCGGGGGTACAAGTGGGCTCTATTGTCTTTAGGGTTTTCGTGTTTTGCTACCTAATTAACTTGGGTTAATTAACTTTGTACTGATGGTGCCCGAGAGAGCTCTGTGCAATTACCAATTAGCTGTCGGTGCCGCCGGACCAACATCCGGGCCCCCGGCGGCCTCCCCATCCTGCCTGGCCAGGTCCCTGGGCTGGGGGGCTGGGCCGGAGGGGCTTGGCAGGCTCCCTGAAGTCCTCCGAGGCACGTGGGGTGCCTGCTGGTCACTTCATTAGGTGCCTCAAGAAGGGGAGTCAGCGGTCCATCCCAGTGGTGGGGCAGGGGTGAGGGTGGTCTGGGACGGGGAACGAGGTGTGAGTGATTCGAGGAGCCTGGTGGGCAGGGGTGAGTGGGAAGGGCGAGGCATTTGAGGGGTCAACGAGCCGTGGGAAGATTGGGTAACTGGAGGCCACGGACACTCTCCGTCTGGTTTCCGACCCGCTGCTCTGGACCTTGGGGGTGAGGACACAGGAGGTTTGTGCTCAGAAAAGCTGGCTGTGGAGGCTCTGTTGCCAAGGAGAAAGACTTTCTCCCACTTCAGCCAAAACAGGACTCCTCAGGGAACAGAAGAATGAGAGGGTCGAGGTCCAGGCCGAGGCCGGCCCCTCCCCCCACCACTCTAGGGCCCTGAAGCTGACCCTCCTGTGGTCCGGCCTGCCCCGTTCTCCCTGCAGAGGACAAGCTGTGGCTGAAGCCCTATGTAGACCTGCAGGCGTATGAGGACCCTGCCCAGGGAGCCCTGAACTTCACCCAGGAACTCGACCCAGCCTGGCTGGTCGTGGACACGGTCATAGGGGAAGGTGAGCCCCGCCGGTCCCTCTGGGTGGCAGCAAGGAGCCGCTTCCTTCTGGCCTTTCCCTGTGGAGCCCTGCTGGCCTCCCCGCTGGCCTCCCCTCTGGCCCAGGCGCTCCCAGACCAGTTCCCTCTCTGCTCCACTCTGTGTCCTTGAACTGCTGTTGTCGCCCCCTTATCGAGTGTCCTGGAACAGTCCCCACCTCGTGCACAATCTGCTGCTGGGGTTATGGAGTTTCTGATAAAGAGCATTAGACACATCTTCCTTATCAAGGGGGGCAGGGGTCACGGTGCCCAGGCTGGAGCCCTTCTCAGGTGGTTCCCACACGTGGGGGCGGTTCAGAGCCTCCCTCGCCTCGCATCCTACCCCACCAGGGCCCAGCGTCCTTGGGCTGCCCTGATCCCTTGGGTCACCAGGGAAAATGGATCTGAGCACAGAACAAAGCTTGGCAGTGTCTCTGCTGATTGTGCGGCCGCACCGGCCAAGCTGCGACCAGAGGAACCCGCAGAGGAGAGTGGCGGTGATCAGCCTCCCCGGCCACTTGTGCTGCTGCCGGCCCTGAGCACGCCTGCCCCTCGTGAACACAGCCCAGTGCCCGTGCACCACACCCAGTGTTTCCTGAGCACCTGCCGCTGGCCACGCACCATGCTCACCCGGGAGACCGTGCTGACCAGAGGGTGGAAGTGCACTCCTGCCCCAGACTCCCGGCCCCTTCCCCTGGAAGTACAGCCCAGCTCCTGTCCCAGAAAGGACACACCAGGTTTCTGGTCCAGAGAAGAAGAGAGAACTGAGGGACTAGAGCAGGGGTGTCAAACTCCTTCTCACCGGGGGCCACATCAGCCTCGTGGTTGCCTTCAAAGGGCCAAATGTACTTTTAGGACTGTATAAATGTAACTACTGCTTAACAGTTAAGCGAGAGCTTGGCACTGCCACAGGGTAGAAACAAGGTGCCAGGCCGGATAAAACAAGGTGGAGGGTGGGATTTGGCCCACGGGCCTTGTGTTTGCCACCTGTGGGCTAGAGGATGTCATCTGTCCCCCATGGGGAGCCTAACAGTGCGTGGGGCCAGGACCCTGTTTTCTTTCTGCCCAGGAGAGTTTGGGGAAGTGTATCAAGGGACCCTGAGGATCCCCAGCCAGGAATGCAAGACTGTGGCTATTAAGACCTTGAAGGACACGTCTCCAGACGGCCACTGGTGGAACTTCCTCCGAGAGGCAACCATCATGGGCCAGTTCAACCACCCGCACATCCTGCACCTGGAAGGCGTGGTCACGAAGAGTATGAGGATTGGTCTCCAGGCGCTGGGGTGGAGGGGAGGAAGGAGGGTGTGAGACCACTGGAAGGGAAGGGAAGGTGTTTTTGCCAAGAGCAGGAAATCTGGTTCTGGTGGTTTGGGGTGGAGATGGGGTGGAGGTTGCCATGGTGATGTGCTCTGTGTCTCAGGAAAGCCCATCATGATCATCACGGAGTTTATGGAGAACGGAGCCCTGGATGCCTTCCTGAGGGTGAGCAGGGCAGAGGACCAGCCGGGAAGCGGGATGTACCATGAAGCCCTGGGGATTGATTCCTGGTTTGGGGAGAGGCCACCCTGCCCATCCCCTGACCCTCCACTCACCCTGGTGCAGGAGCGGGAGGACCAGCTGGTGCCTGGGCAGCTGGTGGCCATGCTGCTGGGCATTGCATCTGGTATGACCTACCTCAGTGACCACAGTTATGTCCACCGGGACCTGGCCGCCAGAAACATCTTAGTGAGCCAGAACCTGTGCTGCAAGGTGTCTGACTTTGGCCTCACCCGTCTCCTGGACAACTTTGATGGCACCTACGAAACCCAGGTGAGAGCCCTGTACTCGCTGCGTATGCAGACATGCACACGGTTTCATGTCATGCACACAGGCACACGTGTACGACAAACACGGACCCGTGTTCCCGCGGACACACTGACTTCATGGAGGAGAGGGACGTTTTCACCCCTCCTCCAGGCCCTGAAATGCGCTGGCCTTCTGTCCTACATGCTTTAATAGGGAGGGAAGATCCCCATCCGCTGGACAGCACCGGAAGCCATCGCGCATCGGATCTTCACCACGGCCAGTGACGTGTGGAGCTTTGGCATTGTGATGTGGGAGGTGCTGAGCTTCGGGGACAAGCCCTACGGGGAGATGAGCAATCAGGAGGTGAGCCTGGCTACTCCCCACACCCTTCCATGGCCCTCCCTGCACATACTCTCATTGCCACTTCCTGACCCATAGTTTTCCTGCACTCTCGCCCCCTCTGGTCCCCTTCGCTTCACACCCTGTTCTCCTTACTGCTGGTCAGGTGGTGGGGATGGAGGGGAAGGTAGAGGCTCCTTTGCATGACCTTGCATGAACTGCCAGGGTAGCTTCCTGCCGCGGGCCTCAACCCCCCCCCCCCCCATGGCAGGTCATGAAGAGCATCGAGGATGGCTACCGGCTGCCTCCCCCCGTGGACTGCCCCGCCGCTCTCTATGAGCTCATGAAGAACTGCTGGGCCTACGACTGTGGCCGTCGGCCCTCCTTCCACCAGCTGAAGACACACCTGGAGCAACTGCTGGACACCCCCCACACCCTGCGGACCGTGGCCAACTTCGACCCCAAGTAACCACACTGGGCAGGGCCACAGGATGCAGAGGGCACATCTGGGGGAACGGAAATGGGCTTTCGGCCACAGCCACCAAGTGCTGGGCCTGCACAGCTCCGGACACAGGGCATGACCACAGTCTGTGCCCTCGGGGAGCAGCCACTTTGGTGGAGAGATGCAGTCCCACCCCTGACGGCTGCAGTCTGATGGGAGATAGGAAGCCAACAGGGAGATGGGAGGCAGATACAAGCAGAGCTTGCAAACTGATACCAGCGCTGGGGAGTTCGGTCACTCAGGTTGCAGTGGGGACGACAGGCTGAGTGGCAAGGGACAGGCAGCGGGATGTCATGACTGTGAGGGGCAGCCTTGCAGGGTCTGGGAAGGCTTCCAGATCACCTGCCCGGTGTGGGTTTGGGGAGCTGGGGGCAGGCTGATTGCAAGCCGTGCAGGGTGACGGCAGCTGGCAGTGCCCAGTCCAGGGACAGTGGCCAGAGACGAAGCTGGAGAGGTAGCGGGGTCACTGCAAGGAGGACCAGCTCTGCTGCGAAGTTTGGACTTTATCCTGAGAACTATTGACTTGTTTTTAAAAAGACTGCCCATGGGAGGGACATGGTCAGAACTGCATTTCACCAAAAACATTGGCAGGATGTGGAGAAGGAACCGGTGGGGGGGGTGGGGAGTGCGGGGAGACGGAGGAGGCGGGCAAGGCTGGACGTCCAGCGCTTTATCGGGCAAACCAGCCCTGGCACGCTGGCCCCTGTATCAAACCACCATATATAACCTTCCTTCTGGGAGAAAATGTGCTCCAACTTTTGAAACTATCTTTTGGAGCACAACTCCCTCATACACTGGAGACTGCATGTGCTAATCTTTCTGGAATGCTGGACGTTTTTCCCCCAGTAGATTTACTTTGCTAATGGTTTTTGGCTCTGGCTGGCGTTAGCACAGGAACACTCATTGTATTGTGGGTGTCCGAGTGCAAGAATAACAGCCAAGCTTGGAGGTGGCCACCAGGGGCTGCGCCCAGCGCTCAGCGGCCACCCTGCAAACAGGCAGGACCACGCTCGGGCTCCAGGCCTCCGCTTTGGCTCGGCTGCGATAGTTGATGCATTCGTGTCTTAAGCGGCACCCCACCTATTGCCTAGAACTGGCCACTCCAGTGGGGATGGGCTGGTAGTAACTGTGCGCTGGGAACTTGCAGGGCTGGCCCCTCCCCACGGGCTGTCCATCTGCTGCCCACTGCTGCGAGCGCACCAGGAAGCAGGCCAGGAAGTGGGTTCACAGACAATGGCCTGGCTAATCCGCAAAGTCTCGATAATCTCTGTGCCCAGACAGCAGCTAGACTGCTGGCCCCGGAGGCTCACAGGCTGTGCCTGGGGGGGTTTCAGGAAAGCCGAGGACGGCCCCTGCCTTCCAGCCTGACTGAGGCAGCCCCGTGTCCCCTAGGGTAACCCTGCGCCTGCCCAGCCTGAGTGGCTCAGACGGGATCCCCTACCGAAGCGTCCCTGAGTGGCTGGAGTCCATCCGCATGAAACGCTACATCCTGCACTTCCGCTCAGCCGGGCTGGACACCATGGAGTGTGTGCTGGATCTGACTGCGGAGTGAGGAGCCTGGGGGCCCAGCAGGGGAGGGCTGCTGGGGTTTGAGCCCGCCTGCCCACCCGCTCACCAACCCTCTTCCTTGACCACAGGGACCTGGTGCAGATGGGGATCACGCTGCCCGGACACCAGAAGCGCATTCTTTGCAGTATTCAGGGGTTCAAGGACTGAGTCCTCCCCTCCCCCCACCTCTGTCCTCAGGAAGCAGGGACGGGGCCAGGGTCACTCATGCCCCCTCCTCCCTCAGCTGACCAGACCTTGGTGCTGTGCCCGCCCGCCCTCCCCTGAGGAACTTGCCTCTGGAGGCTGCGAGCCTCTGTAAAACAGTAGTGCTGGGAGGGAGCTGAGGGAGGGAGGGTTTAATATATATATACATATACATATACATATACATATACATATACATATACATATATATATTTTTATAAATAAACAGGAGCTGAGTTTTCACCTTGACCCCTGGTTTTTTTTTTATCCCTCCACCTCCTCCATCTGTAGCACAAAAGAGACCACTGCTAAGAATTCTGGAAAAGAAGGTTTTTTATTTGTAGCTATAGCCACAACCTGGCAGCATGGAGGCAGGTGGGAATGTCCAGACCAGTCAGCCCAGCCCAGCCCAACCTCCTGGGGGGCTCAGGGGGGGCTCCTGGCCCCCAGCAAGCAGAGCAGAGGCTGCTGGGGGGCCAGCTGCGGGCATCGGTGCAGCAGTGAAAGCAGCAGCGCTCAACCCTGTGACCCTCTGGTGGGGTACTGGAGGGTGGTGGGAGGTCCCTGCAGGATGGGGGAGAACGGGAAACCCAGGACTGGGCCTCTGCAGCCTGGGCCTTGTTCAGGCCCCTGGATCGGGGCCCTTAGGATGCTGGGTGGGGTTTGGAATGGAGGGAGGGGCTGGACATCAAAAATAACCGAGGGGGGCAGGGCCAGTGGTGGGGCAGGGCGGTCTCAGTGTGGGTGGTCCGCTGTTGGGGAATGGCCTCCCGGGGAGAAGGGGCCAGTCCTCACTCAGGTCTGGGCTCGGGCAGTGTGGCACTTCCGGCAGAGCACGTGGCCGTCCAGGGGGAAACAGCCATTGTCATCGGCCTCGATGGACAGTGCCTTTCCACAGTCCTGGGTGGGAGGAGAATGCACTGGTGGGAAAGGCCCCTGTGGCCCCCCCACACACACACCCCCTCGCTGGCATTAGGAAGACCAAATGCTCCCTGGCTCAGAGCCGGTGTCCCCATCGTCTGTGCCCCGCACCCAGCTACACCCACCCCAACTCGCCCCCACTTTCACTTCCGTCCCCTGGGCCTCCAGTACTGGGATGGGCGGTGGACGGAGCTGTGCCCACCCCAATAAAGGGCATGGGGCCTGTCCCACTTGTCTCAACTCCATTCTGACATCTCTCCTCTGAACCTCGCTGAAACCCCAACCCCACCCACTGTGGCAAAGCACGGCACCCACCATTGTGCAGTCTCCTATCTTGGTCGATCTGCAACTCAGTGACCCCACAGAAAGCCCACACCCCCTTCCTGCAGTGACCGAAACATCAGGGCCAGGTGGGCCTGGGCCCTGCCAATGACCAACCTCAGAACTGCTGGCTGGCCCTGTCCACCCCCTGGCCAGCGAGCAGTGTCCCCATATACCGCCCGGCCCTCAGGGGCCAAGGGGACACGGACCTCACACTTGTAGCACTTCATGTGGAAGTTCTTGTCCAGAGCGACCACACGCACGGTCTCCTCGCGGCCAGGCTCGGGCATGATGGGCTCCGCGCAGACGGAGCACCGGGGCGCGAACTGTCTGGAGGGCGGCAGGAAGGCTCGGGTCAGGGTGGGGGAGGGGCGCTCCGCTGTCCCCAGGGCTCAGGGAGGGGAGTGGGCGGTGGCATGGCAACAGGCAGACTCCTCTGCCCATCTTGCCCCACACCTCGAGGTGGGGGAAGCCCAACAGAAAGGCCCAACTAAGGCCCACCACCATAACTGCCCTTATCAAGGGGAACTTCCCGCCTCTCCACTCACCTTCCCAAAATGCCCCCAGCCCCGAACAGCTACTACCACCAGGTCCTCACCCTCTTCACATCCACCCTGCAGAAAACCCACCCAGAGGTGCCCCTCTGGTCCCATTCCTGGACCCCTGATCCTAGCGCACCCCCCACCACGCAGGTGCCTCTGCCCGATGGCTCAGGGTACAGAGGGACGTGAGGTGCTGGCCACCCGTGGGGGAATCCTGAGAACGTACACCTCAAACTCAGGCGCGAGCCACGTTCTGCGGGGTCCCTGTGCTGGCCTTTAAGCTACCTTCCGGGTTCTGCTGCTGGTCCGAGAAAGCAGCACCTGGTAAACACTTTCTCGGGGGAAACCACAGTTCCCAACAACTGGTCTCCAAAGGAACCTTAGAACCTAACCTCGTGTGTGTGAATTGAAGTCACTCCAGCACACGCTGCTGAACCCAAGCCCACCACCCAAACAAGCCTCCGTGAGCAAAGGGCCAGGGGACTGGCCAGGAGCAGGACTTGCTGCCCAGGCCCTAAGGCGTCTGGACAACCAAGTCCAGATGAACTGGCCTCTGCCAGCTACAGACAGGACGGAGGGCCAGAAAGCAAGACCAGAGGTGTGGATCTGTCTGGGGGTCCGAGGAGCAGCCTGGCTCCCAGACAAACCATGGCTGACCCCAGAGAAGAGCCCGGGGTGGGGGTGGGGGGGTCCTTACTTGTGGTAGTCAGGGACACAGTGGGGCCGGTTGGCCTGGTCCACGATGAACGAGGTGCCCTCCAGGGGACAGGCACAGACCACACAGGTGAAGCACTGTGGGTGGTAGGCCTTGCCCGTGGCCCTCAGCATGCGGTCAGTGATGGGCTGCCCACAGGTGTTGCACTTCTCCAGGGTGTCCTGAGGAGGTAGCAGTAGGAGGTAGGTGGGCAGGGAACTAGCACCCAGGAGCCAGCTGCCAAGGCAGGTCAGCCCTCAGGCCCAACCCCAACTCACAGTGTAGCAGCGCTCACAGTACGGCGCTCCCTCCAGGCTGTAGAACTGCTGTCCCTGTAGCTGCTGCTCACACTGGTGGCAGGTGAAGCAGGCGATGTGGAACAGCTGTCCCAGGGCACGAACTGCAGGCTGCGCGCGTGCCAGGGGCTGGTGACACCGGCCACAGGACTCTGGAAAGGCCAGAGGAGATAAATAAACAGGAGGAAGCTTGCAAAGGATCAGCTGGCTCCAACAGGAGCTGAAGCCACAGCTATGGCCGGAAGTCACAGAGAGGGTGACAGACGTCCTATCAAGGGGGCAGTGAGCTCACCATTGACGGCCACGGTCTGCCTCTGAGGATGCTCCATGTCCTGCATGAGCTGCTGGGTCAGCTGCTCCAGCTCCTCCACCTCCTTCAGGGTCAGAGGCCCTGGGGCCCCTGGGGAGCGCACCTGAAACCCCAACATTCTCTTCATGCTCTCTCAAGGGTCACCCCCTCCAAGAACATTCCCCAACAAGCTTATCCACTTTCTTCCAAGAAGGGCTAACTCCCCTCCCGTTTCCCAGGTGCTCAGGATTGACCCTGAAAGCTCCTCACTCCCTGTCCCAGACCCCAGCACCACACGAATGAGGGGAAGGGGATGATCCTTCCACCCACTTTGCCCAAACCCCCAGTGGGCAGCCACAGACAGGCCGGAAGGACTGAGCGGACGGAGGCCACGCACACAGCAGCAGCTCAGGTCACGGAAGCACCGAACACACCAGGCCACGCATCAACTCCACAGAGCATGCTCAGACATGGCCCCCCAGGGAAGAGGTCGGCGTGGGGGGGGGGCCTGCGCACCCAGGCGCACACACCTACCCGTCCCGCCTGCTGCTGAGCAGCCCTGTCAGCGTGAGGATGCAATACAGGCGGGAATCACAGGTTAACCCCCCAGGGCTGTCTCCTGCAGCCCAGCCCCCAGCCCCCCACGCAGAGGTCTGGGGTGCCCCCCCCAAGAGAGAGTTCCTGGTCTCTCACGTTATTTGACCTCACGTCCTCCCCTGGAGGCCTCAGGGAAGGGCTTCTCCTAGGCCAGCCCCCAACTACTTAGGAGATAGTGAGAGCTGGGGGTGGGGATGGGGTGAGGTTAGGGAGTACTGCGGGGACCCTCAGAAGCACCAGGAGGAGGCGCCACAGGGGTTGCCTGACCTGCAGCAACATGGCCACGAGACACTCCAATGGCAACGCTGGCTGGTCTCTGTTAGCGGAGAAGCCCACCCAGGGCTGCAGCCACCGAACGTCCTGCCTGCCCTTGCCTCCCTCCGTTCCCACAACACCCAGAGCCTCAGCCTCCAGACTACCTCCCCCGACAGCCGCCTTCCCCTAGGCTCGGCCCCACCTCCCTCACCTAGTCTGTATGCAGATGGGCTGCCTCTGCCTGGAAAGGCAGGCACAGAGAAGCCCCAGCTCTGAGCTTGTCTAGCAGTCAGCTTGCCTTCTCTGCCTGCCAGCATTGGTGCCCCAGCTTTGGCGCCCAGGGCACTCAGTCCTCTAACTCCTCAACCCCAATGGCTCCAAACATCCCTCCATCTCAGGCACCTTCCACCACGGGACACCCTGGACCTGAGAGTCATGAGGCTCTTTACCTCCAAGACCTTGGACTTGACCTCCTCCTCCTGCCCCATGTGTACCCACCGAAGGAACCTACTCAGAAGGGCTCTGCTTTCCTGCCTCCCAGCCCTCCCTGGGGGCCTCCCCCACCAGCCTGACCCCTTGACCATCTATTTTTATGGGGCTCTCTCAGCCACTCTCGCCCCCCTTGGCAACCGTGGCTCATCTGCCCAACCTCAGCCCTGGCCACAGGGCCCACTTCCTGCTTCTGCCTCTGGGCTCGGAAAGTCGGTAGCGAGATCGCTCCAGGCTGCAGAGTGAGCTCACAGAACCCCGGAGGGCCCGGCGCCCACCGCCCCCAGCTCGGCTATCTGGCTTTCGGCTCCTGCGGGTTCCCCACGGCTGCCCCACAGCAGCTGTTCTGAGCCTTTTCCAAACCTTTTCCATCTCCTCCAGCCCCTCGCTCCCTCGCCCTCACCGATGACCTCACCTCCTACGTGACCAAGAGGATGGAAGTCCGCCAGCTCATGCTGACTCGGCGTCCCTCCTCTCCACAGAAAACACTGTGGTGACACTGTCCTTGCTCTCCGGGAAGGCCACGGTGGAGGGGACGGGACGGTATCACCACCTCTCCTCCGGACTCCATCCCGGCAGCAGGCCCTGCTCTCAGGCAGCGCCAACCCCTCCTCCCTCCATCAGCTTCTTCCTCCTGGTTCACGCACACACCTGAGCCCCCTCCCCTAACTCGACAGAACCACAGGCACAGGCCCTGCCCTGGTCCGCCTCTCTGCCAGCCTCCAGGGGCAGGCTTGTCTGGAACCTCCATTTCTAACTGTGCGCATAGCCTCAACTCCCTCCGCCATCCCCACAGAGGGACCACCCTGCCACCATCGGTGACTTTCAGGCAGTCACATCAGGGGCCTTACCGGGGTCCTCATCCTCCTCAAACCCCCCTACTGAAGGCTTCCTCGCCATCACATTCTGTCCCCAAGACCCCACCCTGACTTGTGCTCCTCCCCCTTCTGCCACGTGACCAACACGAGCACCCCTCAAGGGTCCCCCCAGGCCCCCGGCTCCATCTGTGTAAGCACCCCAGGCTGGGCTGCTTCAGTATCACCGTCCCCACGGACAAGCCTGAACCCCGGGCCCCTCCCAAAACCCGGGCCCCCACTTCTAAGTGAGTGACAGTCCCAGCTGAAGGAGAGTCCTCCGGGAACCTGTTGCCCAACGCGCTGACAGCTGGACCACCCCCTGCCCGCCCCCGCACTTTTCCGGTGCAAAGCATTTCCCCTTCTGGACTTCTCTATTTTGTCAAAATACCGACATTCATTCCACAACACACCCAGGCTTTCACCCTGCCCCTCCTCTTCCAACCGCTTATCAGTTACAAGGTCCTGGAGGCATTTCCTTTGCAACAGCTCTTATCTAAAGCCCAGGAGTGAATCCCAACAAACGTCACTGACCCCTACCGCTAGCCCACACCTCGGCTGGAAACTCTCCCCCAAGCTTCCCCAGGCAGGCGTCACCAGACTTCTGACCCAGCCACACACCTCCAGAAAAATTAGGAAGGACGTGCCAGGACCGACAGGCTCCCTCGAGCTCCTGCCTACCTCTCCACAGCTCCACCACTGCTCAGGGGAACCTCCTCCTTTCCGGTATCCAAACACTCGGGTGCACCTGCGCCCTGGAGTTTTTGCTCATGCTATTCCCAGCCCAGCGTCCTTCACTTCCCCTCTGGACTCTGAAGTCCGACCATCCTTCAAAGCACACTAGACGTCTTTCCGAATGTGCCAGACTCAGGCCTACTACCTGCTCAGAGCTCCCATAACACGGGACCCTGCACCACTCATGGGTACCGGGCACCTCCTCCCGCCCGGTCCAGGACCGCACATGCAGACACCGGCATTCCTGCTGTCCGCTTACTGGGCGGCTGGTTGACTAGATGCCCAGCAGGTTCCATTCAACTCCTAAGTCTCCCAAACTCGAAGGCAGGAATGCGAACTTTTCCATTTGGGGCACTCACATGCAAGATAAAAACGCCAGCCCTTTCTGTGTGTTAGCTCACTTAAGTTTCCCAGCCCTTGTCTGGGATAGACAGCATTGTTTCCAAGATAGGAAAGTGAGGCTCCTCCAAGTTCACCTCACTGGCCGAGGATCATGTCAGAGGGGGAGCTGGGAATTCTATCCCAGGTCCAGCTGACTCCCTCAGGCTTAACCTCTTTGAGAGGTCTCTCCTGCCCTGATTCTGCCCAGGGCACAATGCACAAGCTGCAACTCTTATCACCATATGCGCCCTCGGGCAGACAGAACAGAGGGCTCAGAGTAACAGAGAGATAAACTCAAGAAGCTCATCCTCCGCTTTAACATTCTGGGACAGGTGAAAGGGATGGTCCATCAAACCCTCTGCCTAATTCACAGTCTGGGCTGCTCCCCACTCCCAGCCAGGCCCCACCCAGCCCCAGCCCTAGCCCCAGCCCCTGGCAGAAACCACCCCCCCACCCTGCAGAAGAGCTGTGTCTTACCATGTCCAACCCAAGAGGCTGGAAACGCCCATCCCACCGACCCCACTCACCCATCTTTGCCCTCGTTTTCTGGCTCCTGACTTATCCCCTTGCCCCCAGCCCCCAGGTCTCACTCAGCCTGGCCCTCCCATCCTCCCTCACCTGGTTTTGGTTTTGAGCCGGCGGCGGGGGCACTGGGCGCTGCTTCTCCTGCACTCGGGGCTTCTCTCTCTGCTGGGCATAGGTGAAGCTGGGGGGCTGAGGGGAGCCTGTGCCAGTGGAAGAGGGAGCTTGCGGAGACCCCAGCTTTTGATTGGGCTGCGACCCAGGTCCACCTGGGGCTCCGGGGCTGAACTTGGAAGCCACGGGAGTGAACTTGGGAGTCACTGGAGAATACTTGGGAGTCACTGGAGATGGGGCTGAGGGACCTCGAGGCTGACTGTTAGCCAGAGGCACAGGCTGGGGCTGGGGCTGGGACTGGACATGGAGCTGGACCTGAGGCTTGGCCTGGGGCTGGGGCTGGGGCTGCACATGGCTCGGAGGCTGAGGCTGAGCTGGAGCCTGGGGCACAGGCTGGGAGCTAGAAGGAGCCTTCCAAGGAGGCAGGGGTGCCGTGCCCCCAGCTGCAGGCTTAGTACTGGTTTTGGGAATGAACGGGGTGGTGACTGGTGGGGGTACATATCCAGAGGACACCTGCGAAGAGAGAAGGAGGGGTAGAGAAGTATGATTGGGGAGGGTGCTGCCTCCCCAGTTCTGCCCCCACTCCTTCCCTCCTCTCCTGCTCCTTACCCGGGCTTTGAAGGGATCGTTCCTGGTCATGTCGTCCAGCAGTGAGGACAAAGAGTCTATCTCCAGGTCAATACTGCTCACCTTCTCCCTGGGCTGCAGGGTCAAAGGTCAGAGCATCCATCCCAGTCCTCCATTCCCACGCCCCCCCCCCGCCCCCATCAGGGCAGAGGTGCAGGGGAGGTCAGAGGGAAGGACACTCCTCTCCCTCCCTCGGTGGTGTTCCTGTTCCTGCGCAGCTGCCCCTCCCAGGCCTCCATACCTGCGGTGGGAGCGGGACGTGGGCCTCAGGCCCTCCCTCCTCCAGGGGAGGCGGTGGGGAAGGGAAGATCTCCTCCTCCAGCGGAGCCGGGGGAAACAGTTCCTCGATCGGGGGAGGGGGAGGTGGGAAGGCACCTCCCAGGGTGCCCTCTGCATCCTCGACTTCCCCAAGGACGGGAGGGGGCGGTAAGGGAAGGTCTAGGGTAGGAAGGAGAAAGAGGAAAGTCAGTACGGGCTCCTCCGCCCCCTTCCCTAAGTTTCCCTCCTTCTACAGCTGCCACCGCTCACCCAGAAACTCTGGGGCGTGCGGGAAGGAAACGAGGGCGCAGGACACCCTCGGAGCACTGGGTCAGGAGCGGCCGGGGGGTTGGCGCAGGAGCCGTGCAGCTCCCGTTACACTTCGGAAAACGGACCCGGAGGGAAGATTCGTGCCCCACATTCCCACCTCCCCACCCCCAGGCGGGGGACTTGGACCGGTCCCAGGAGCCCTGGCTCCCGGCCACGAGCTCCAGGATGAGGTAAGAACATCTGCTCGGGACAGGGTGGCTGCGCCCAGCCCCCTCCGCTGCAACCTTTCCAGACACCCCCAACCCCAGTGCCACCGCCCCCAGCCCGGCGCCCGCCGTAGTCCAGCCCCCCGCCCCCCGCATACCTTCCGGGGGCGGCGGGGGGATCTCTCCCACCCGGCCGATCTGTGCGCGCTGGGCCCCGGCGGCCGGGAGAGGCTCGCTGTCCCCGGGACGAAAGGGATTCACTTTGGGCTTTGGGGCCACCACCGGGGCGAACTTCTTCTGCGGGGCGTAAAAAGCCGGAGCCGAAACAGAGACGGAGATCGCGGGGGACGGGCGGGGGGCCGCCATGGCCGGGCCGGGCTGCTGGGGGTGGGTGGCCGGGTTAAGCGGCGCTGAGCCGGGCAGGGGACCCCCTGGCGGGCCCAGCACCCCTCGGCGTCCCGGCGTCCCCTCCCCGCGGGCGGCTCCCCTCGCCTCACCGCGGGCCGGAGCGTGCACGCCGCGTCTCAGGTGGCCGCCTGGGCGCCGGGTGCGCGGACTCTGTGTCCGGGTCCAGCGCCGCCTTTAGCCCAACCGGGGAGGGACGTGGGGCCGTGGGAGGAGGGAGGAGGCGGGGAGAGCGCGGCGCCCAGACCATACAAGGAGCGGCCGGGAGAGGGGGCGGGGAGAGGCGGGGAGGGCGGACCGGGCGGTAAACTCCCCCAGGAAGGGGCCCAGGTCCTGCCCGTGGGCTCCGGGCTCCGCTAAGGTCCGCCGGACCCCGCCCCCGCCGCCCCGGCCCGCCGCGGACCACCCCTCCCCGAGCACAGGCCTCTGATGTCATTTCCTGACTTGCCCCCCTCCACGCCCGACCCGCGGTGCCCGAGGTCTGATTCACCGTCCCCACGCCGCCGCCGGGATAAGCCCGCGGAGGTCTGGCGGTGCCCTGGAGGCACCGAGGCAGCCCTTGGCGACTCCGCCCGGGTCCGGTCCCCTTCTCCTCCTTCTCTGGGCCTGCCGTTACCTGCCCCTGCCACCTTCCCACCCAGCTGCCAGCCCCGCGCCCCGGGTCCCCTCCGGGTCGACCGGGATTGGCAACCCTGGGGTGGAACTGGGCTCCAGGGTGGACCACGATGGTGGGTGGGCGTCCTCCCTGCTCACGCCCCCCACCCCCCGCCCCCCGCAGGCCTTTCTGTGACCTGGAAGGGGGTGTGTGAGTACGAACCTCAAGGGTCCTTAGGGGATCCTAACTTGAAATCCTGGGCAGCCCCTTCCGGCTTCTAGGAATCCGCATCATCCGCACCCCCGCCTGCAGATCTGGGAATGTTTGCGAGGAGGACAGGCGAGGACAGCCGAGCCGGGGAGCGAAGGTGCGGGGGCGGCCGGGCGACCGGGGCTCCGGGAGGAAGGGCGTGGACGCGGTCGACACGTCTTCGACAGTTGTGAAGCGCCCCCAGGGATCCCTCGGGGAGCCTTAGGGCGGCGGGGCGGCCCTCGGGGAGTTCGGAGACTGCGCTCCGTGGAGCCCCCCACTGGTCCGACCAGACTGCTCTGCCTTGAAATCGGCCCCAGGCGACGCAAAAGGGACAGACCTGGGAATCATTGAACACGGAAACGCACCAAATTGCCGCTTGAATTCTTGCACACTCACTACTTACACACTATGGAGTCATATGGCCTTTCGGCCTGCGGATCCCATGTATCACCCTCCGGCGCTGCCTTTTTTTCCTGCCATCTAAGGCAGTTCCCTTGCACACACCCTACTGTCTCAGGTCCTGCCGCTTCAAATGCGCCGCAGCCTCCTGCCAGCGAGCACCTGCGCTGTGGTCTAGAGGCCATCCAGACCTTCCTCTGACATTTAGCGCGAGAACGCAGACTGGGGGCTTCAGAGGGGGGCCCGGCATCACACCCAGTTAGCCCCCAGGTCTCTAGGTTAGAGCTGGGTGTCTCGAGAGCTCTAACGGCAGAGATCGCTCTCCTAACTCTGGGGTGCGGTGAAGCAACGCGGGAGACCGGAACGCAGAACGAGGTCAGGGTGCAGAGACCCGCCTGAGTGGCTGAGTCTCTTCGTTCTCTCCACTTCATTTCCTCGGTGTGTAAAAGGAGTGATGATACTCAATCCACTCACCTTAGTGCATTATATGGAGGAATAAACGAAATTCAATATCTGAACTGTTACATAATCCTTGGTATTATTATTCAAGTCCCAGTTCTGCCCAGAATGGAAATTCTGACGGGCTAACCTAAGGCCGTTATTCCGAATCTCCTCCCGGAGTTGCCAAGCTGATCTCTCACGGGCCTTGGGGTGCACAACGCCTGCTCCCTCCTTCAACCTTATCGGACACTTCATTATGGCTACTACTACATCTTCGCCTCCTTCTTGGTCCCCACTGATCTTTCTCCTCTCCGGTGTCGTCTTGTCTTTGTCGTGGGTGTTCCACACTGTCATAGCCTGTGCGCCATGTATGAGACGAAGCATGCCGTGCAGACAGACCTTCTCAGACAGGCAGAAGCTGGTCCTGGGCCTGTCCCCGTGAAGATGGGCTAGAAACGTGATACCGTGTTGGAAACTGTGTCTTGGATTTTACAGACCAAAAGTCTCTGCCAGTCCTTCAAAATTGCACCCACTTTGCGGGGGGAGGGGGGGAGGAGGATGGGGGTTGGAAATTAGGAAGGTGGTTTCCAGATAGTGTCACAGACGAAAAGCCATCTGCAGTCTAAACATCTCCTTAAGGAATGTGCAAGTTCAAAATATAGTACGTTTCATTGTTCGGCGGCTGAACCTATTTATAAATCAGGAATAGGAGAGTGCGTAGGCAGGCCTGGTTCTACTGACAACTGAAAGCATTTGGGATGCAGATTATGAAAGCTCAGAGTTTCCAGCCGGCCAGTCTCAGTACAAGTGGAGACACACCGGGTATCCCAGGAGGACAGGCTCACAGGGCCAGGACGCCCCTAGAGGAGCTGAGGGCCAATTAATGTTAAAATGCTTGCAGTGGTCCTGGCTGGCGTAGCTCAGTGGATTGAGCGCGGGCTGTGAAACAAAGCATCCCAGGTTCAATTCCCAGATAGGCCACATGCCTGGGTTGCAGGCCACAGCCCCCAGCAACTGCACATTGATGTTTCTGTCTCTCTCTCTCTCTGTCTCCCTCCCTTCCCTCTCTAAAAATAAGTAAATAGAATCTTTAAAAAAAAATGCTTGCAGTGAACAAGAGCGGCCCTAATGATGTTTAGGTATTCTTCTTTTTAAAAAGATTTTATTTAGCCCTGGCTGGCGTAGCTCAGTGGATTGAGCGCGGGCTGCGAACCAAAGTGTCGCAGGTTCGATTCCCAGTCAGGCCACATACCTGGGTTGCAGGCCATGGCCCTCAGCAACCGCACATTGATGTTTCTCTCTCTTTCTCCCTCCCTTCCCTCTCTAAAAATAAATAAATAAAATCTTTAAAAAAAGATTTTATTTATTTATTCTCAGAGAGAGAGAGAGAGGAATGAAGGGAGAAAGAGAAGGAGAGAAACATCAATTGGTGATCAGCTGCTTCTCACACACCCCGCAACCTGTGGACCTGGTCTGAAACCCAGGCACGTGCCCTGACCGGGAACTGAACCCGTGACCTTTCTGATTTGTAGGACAGCACTCAACCCACTGAGCCACACCAGTCCAGGCGAGGTATTTTTCTCAAGTAAGCAATTCTCATTGATCTCCTCAGGTAGGATGTGTAAAAAGTAGCAAGTACACAGATGTTCCCACCTAATCGTTTCCCACAGCTTGGGACCAGGCAAGAGAGAGGAAGTAAAAAAAAAAAAAAATGGCAGGAAACTTTGCTATTTAAAACATCTCTGCACACCTCCCAGAATTTATGTCCACCAGGTACCAGAAAAGTTTCCTTCAAGGTCGCACAACATGAAGTAGGCAGTTAGGAGCAGCCAAGAAAAATAAATAAATAAATAAATAAATAAATAAATAAATAGAAGGAACAAAGGCAGTGGCAAAAAAATTTTTTTTTCTGAAAAGGACAGAAGCGCCGTCACATGGTTCTTTCCATATACTGGCTGCAGACTAACAGAGGGCCACTTCTGTGCCAGGCACTGTGCTAGGCACTCTACCAACTGCAAGAACAGCAACCACCAGAACAACATCAGCAATAATAATACCCTGATAAAGCTTAGTATGTGGTGCCAGGTACAATACTAAACACATATATCCTCCAGCCCTGGCTGGTGTGGATGGAGCCCCAGCCTACAAACCAAAGAGTCACCAGTTCGATTCCCAGTCAGGGCACATGCCTGGGTTGCCGGTCAGGTCCCCAGTAGGGGGCATGCGAGAGGCAACCACACACTGATGTTTCTCTCCCTTTCTTTCTCCCTCCCACTCTGTCTAAAAATAAATAAATGAAATCCTTAAAAAATTAACATATAGCCTCCATTTAATCCTCACAACAAACCTGTGGGAAATGTACATGATGATCCCACTTTTCAGTTAAGGCAACTGAGGCCAAGTAGCTGTTGCATGTTTCACCTCTGAAACTGAAAAAAAAATTGGAATGCAAATATTTTATTATTTGAAGACACCTCTGCCCTCCACTTACATCCCTGTGGTCCTTACTTCCTCCTTCCAGGAGCCCCGGCTCGGTGCACCAACAGCCTCCTCAGGTCAGCGGCCACGTCCAGCCCCCACTTGAAGTCTTTGGGCCACCATTTTTCCATCACATGGTGCCATCGAATCCTCTCTCCCTCTCCATCTCCCTCTCCCTGTCCCTACTCTCTCTCCCTCTCTCTATCTCTCTCATATAGAGACAGAGATGGGGGTTAGGGAGGGAGCAAGTTTTGTATGAGAGAACATTTCCAGAGAAGACTTCTTCAAGAATTGTTAAAAGCGGTTGCTGTTAGGGTACAGAATTAGAGGAAGGCAAAAAGCTTTTTCTTTTTTTTTTTTTATCCTCACTCAAGGACATTCTTTTTTCATTGCTTTTAGGAAGGGAGGAAGGGAGAGAGAGAAACATTGATGTGAGAAAGAAACATTGATTGGTTGCCTCCCTACGTGCCCGGACCACCAGGGACCAGACCCACAACTCAGGCATATGCCCTTACTGGGAATCGAACCCAAGACTTTTCAGTTACCAGACGACACTCCAACCAACTGAGCCACACCGCTTAGGGCCAGAAAGATTTTAGAACTTGACTTTTCCCCCCTAAACATGTATAACTTTTATCATTTTAAAAAAGGAGAAGACAAATGACAGAGTCATCATCTCTTGCTCCTAATATCAGAGCATTTTCTTTTCCACTTTCTCCCAGATTTACCCCCCTCCTAGTCCCACTCGCATTGCTTGATGCGACAAAAGGCTCTCTCACCGGCAGGGCTGCAGACACAGTGGAGGGGTTGGATGGGAATGGGAGTTGCAGAGGGTGGAGCACCCAGCAAGACCCAGGGATCTTTTTGGCAAAGCCCAGGGAGAGCAGATTCCTCCTCTGCCCTGGGACCACCCCCCAACCCACCCCCGACCCCCCAGAAGGGATGGCCTGACAACCACAAATGGCGCCCTTTTCCTCCTTTCTTGCAGGTAGGCTGACATCCAGGCATCATCCTCTGTGCACTTCTCCATTCCCTCAGTTCTGCCAGTGTTTACCAATAACTTCTAT